AAAAAAAGGCCCAGCCCAGAAAGAAAAAAAAAGCCAGAACTTGGACTACATTATATTGAAGAAGTCTCACAACAGCTACAAGGCAGGAAAGCATCAATTCAAGAACTGCAAACATGCAGTTTCTACTTCCTTCCGTAAGGGTTTCCTGTAGATATCTTCCAGAATGGTTTAACTAAAAGTCATTTTATCAATTATTGACATAAACTCCTACTTCTAAGTAACCAGCCAAGTTCTCCAAATGTAGTGTACTATTTCTACTCGCTCCAGATTTTCACTCAGGATACAAAGCCATTTGATTCTGTGATACCCTCTCAGCACTTGTATTTACTATTCAGCAGTTACAATCCAGGGCACAAAGGGAACAGTCAAGTTATCTGACAATATATTTGTTTTCACATTAACATGTCAGCATTCACAGATGAGACATGGAACTACTGTATCAGTCTGTGAACATGAGTTCACTGAGTAGACAAGCAGTAATACTTTCACGTCTCATCATTTTTCACATTCATATTTCTAAGCATGAGAATCATTCTTGTACTGCACGCTGTTTCACTATCAGGCATTAACACTAAGCACAGCTAATTATACTTTGGTTTTTCTCCAGAGATTAGTCCAGTAGGAAGAAATAAGATGAGAAAGAAAAGAACAAGAAGCCATCTAACACCTTAAGTATTAGTAGGGTGTACGCAAACTGCATATTACAAGCATGAATACTACAAGCATTCAGTTTTATTCTTTCTTTTGCAAAATCAGCTCTAAATGTTGAAAAGATTAGATCCTAACCAAACCATCAGGCAGAACAGTACAACAAACAGGAAAATTTTATAGTTAAAGAATAATTTAGTGCAATTCATAGCTCCTATAAGAAATACTCACCAAGATCTGTATTGGGGCCAGCAAGTAGCTGCTTAAATTTGTCTAATCGGGATGCTTCTCTTTCAGTTAATGCAGGAGTAACTGAGGTATTATAGTCTGCCATTCCACTCACCAAGGGAGGTGTGGAAGTTTGTGGCAGGGACTGTGATCTCTGCATGGAAGAATTTTCACTAGCATTATCTGAAGGGAAAAAGAAGCGTAACAGTTAGCCTCAGCTAGTGCGAAGGCTACTAACAACTTGAATTTAATTTGTAAATTTAAAACAGAATTATGTTTTGGAGAAATGTAAACTCAAGCACAGCACAAGTTTGGACTTCAAATGACTTGGATTTAGGAGGAAGAGAATTCCTCTTCCAAGCAGTATTCCACAATTAAAACACATCAATTAGAGGACATACTAACAGCAAGGCTAATTGATTTCTAACATCTCTGTGCTACTGAAAGCTGTTTCTATCCCCCTCATCATTCTAAAAAAAAAAAAAAAAAGCCAAAAAAAACCCCAAAACCCTGGGAAACCATTGAAATTGGTTACTTTAAAGTTTATACATAAAACATGCATGGTTTTCTCCAGTTTTTCAAGATACTTTATACAGTAGCATTTTAATAACAATTTTTCACAATAGTAGGAATACTATTAATTGCATACATCATGGTGCAGTTAACCATTAAAATACATTGAACAGTGCAAGTTCCTTCCAGAATTGAGGATTTATTAAGGCTGCAAACAAAAAAGTTTAATTATTCTTCCCTCACCCATGTGTTTCTCGCACACATGCTTTACAGTTTAGCATAGCATGCAGTATCTCCCTCAGATAAATCAATATTGATTAGTAATATTTTCCTGTGGTATTAAGAACAGGTTAGGAAGCGGTTAATGTCTTAAGTGGCAAACATTATAGCTCTCCTCATTTGATTTTCAAGTTCTTTTTCATACCTGATGAACTCGATGTATGACCTTCACTGACTGATTTAACAAGCCTATTATCACCACACGCAACTGAAGACAGCTTTGCAGATTCTACTTGTTTCTCTTCCTGTAGATGTTCTTCCTGAAATTTATGCTGTTCTTGTAGCTTGCTGTGATTCTGAATTACTTTGTGAGCTGTTTCCATGACCACTTCTGTATTTAAGTTTTCAGCAGCTATTGCTAAGAGTTCATCATCATCATCCCCAAGATCCCAAGCATCACTTGTGTTACTTTCAAATTCTTGGAAAGTGCTGACTTTCTTTAGTTTCACTGGAGTTGTAGGTGGCTTTGAACCTGGTTTTATCAAGCTGTTCAAAAATAAATAAAATAGCATTTAGAGAATTAGAAATGGAGTAAGCAAAACACTATGGATAGGGCCAAAAAGCCCAAAAGTCCATGCTTAACATTATACAGGTAGCAGATATTTATCTCGCTCCACTCATGTTACTGCTACATCCGCCCATGATAACATACAGCTGAATATGTCTGAGAACTGGGGCAGGTAAAAACTGACTCTTCTTGACTTTGAATAGAAGCTGAACAAATCCTTCCTTCTCTTGTCTTAAAAAAAAAAAAAAAAAAAAACCCAAACAAAAAGACCAACCCCAAAGTCAAATAAAAGGAATAATACTAGAATAGTTTACAAGATAGACAGGACACACTGCACTTCTCTTGCTTCATGAACTTCTTCTGTAGAGATTTCAGGCCTTTCAATGCAATTGCTGCTTAACAACACAGGAGCAGTAATCAAGTAATCAGGTCTACTGCTAAGTCATTATAAGCAATCACGTAATACAATCACTGCCATAAACAAATCAAGTCTCACCTTAAAACTCATTAAATCTATCATTCCTCCCCATTCAGGCACTCCAGCACAAATTTGCTTCAGAACTTTGCTCTTCTCATAAGCAGGTTACTTCCTCTAGTTACTAGTCTAAGTGTACCTCTGTGTGTACTTTTGTCCCTCTGTCAACACGCAGTATAAGAGAGATGAACCAAGTATCCCTCCCTAGCTTGGCACTTGTTCTTACTTACAGTAATGCAAAGCAATCACGCCTCCCTTCAGATTTCAGCTAAATAAGGCATAAAGTTGAGAGAGTTTCCCACTGCTCTCAAAAGAAAAAGAAAGTTAATGCCATTAACTTCATTGTCCTTTCTGACCATCCCTGTCTTTCTGCCTGTGCCAGTTTACCTTTTTTGTGTTAAGACAAGGCAGCCAGAATTGGAAATCAGAAAAAGTTCTCGCACAGTCTTCATACAATGTTAGTAATGTTTATGTTATGCATCACAGGGAATATCTTTCCTAACAGGTGCTACAACATTGACACTTTCGCCAAACTTGTCATCATTGTTTAAAATAGCAAGGTCTTTCTCCTCTTCTGTCATCATATCAAGCAGTAAGCTTCTACTTTTTGTCTCTCTGTATAACTCCACATTTTGAACCAATTCATCCCATTCCTTTTTCTTCAGTCCTCAAGGGCACACATTTCAATTGCCTTCGACTCTGCATCATCTGAAAATTAACTAGCACATGTTTACTTCTTGTGCCACTTCAAACCAGCCCTTGAAAAAAGCTATTAGAAGTATGACCTCCTTCCAAGCCAATACTTTTCCTTCTAACATTATCTTTTGCCCTTACCACTTTGGGCCATTCATTTCATTGGTCATATAATTTTCCCAAAATTCTCACATACACCAACATTTTAACAGCAATGCTGGTTTCAAAGGAGCTGTGAAATCTACCAATAAACCAGAAAAAATTTTGCCCTTGACAAAGCTTAAAACAAACTGCCTTAAAAAAAAAAAAGACAACAAAGCAAAATATAAAAAGCAGAAGCTGTCAGAATGCAGCATTTTGCTAAACACCTCAGCCATAAGGAAATGAAAATCATTCACTTGCATTAGTTCTGAGTTATCAGCATGAAATTTATTTGGTTACTAAAAGTGTTTAACATAATGTTGCCATTTTCATGTATATTGTGTTCTTATATCGAATAATCATCATCTAAGGTAATAAACTTTTGAATCACTGTAAAATCTATTCTACCTACTGTCTTCTCATTCACAACCAAAATGCCCACCTTTGCCTCAAAATGATCTACACCACAACCTGACTCTTTGCTTTTATAGATAGACAAATAAAGCCAGTCCATCAACAGAGATGCATGAAGGAAAGCTGCTTACACCTGAGTTGTAAATATTAATCTTAATTTAGCAGATGAAGTTTACCACAAAATTTCCAATTTATAAGGCACTGCAAACAGATAAAAAAAGTTGGCAATCTATGTTACTTAAGAACTGAACAGCTCATTTGTTGCTCCCAATATGGTAAGTACCAGGAAGTCACAAAAGAGAAGTTCAAACAGAGAAGTCAAGGTTATGACAAAAACTGAAAAAGGAAGACTAACAATAAACTTTATAGCTGACGGGGAAGAAAAAGAGGAGAGAAGGCAGAGGAGATCCAAATTACCTGGAATATTTAAAAATTAGGTTAACTTACGTTCCATGCAATAATGGATCAAAAGGCGGATGCTGAGCTCCATACACATGTTGAATACTAAAGGAAAAGAAAGAGAGTTATCACAAAAATAATAAAACATTTGGGGGTTTTCTGTGTATTAAGTAAACAGTCAATAATAAACAGAACTGAAATGTTCCAAGTGTTTTCCATTTCAAAGAATCCCACATACCACTAAAAATAACAAAGCTGAAATTGAAAGGTATACTAAAAAGTAACTTAATAAAAATCAGAGATTTGCCAAACGGGAAGTCTTTTTGAGGCCTAGACTAACTTAGGCTGACTTATTTTTCTGACCAGGAATTAAAACAAGGAAAAAAAGTTAACTCCACAATAAGAATCTACACTGCTTTTAAATTCTTTCTCTCTTCTGATTTATAATTTCTTCATTTATCTCTTGCAAAAAAATAAATAAATAAATATTCTCAAAGAAATATCTGTAAAGATTTAATCTTCTATATACCCTTGTCACCCAAAATCCATCCAGTCAATTCTTAACCATTACTAAAGTACAAGGCCGATAAATTTAAAGACAAATGCAAAAGATGTCATGTTAGAGAATAAAAGCCATGGGAGTACTAAAACCAAATGCTTTGAAATCAATAAGCTTCCAAAGACATATTTGTTCACTGCAATCTCTAACATTACAAAATAGCATATTACTGTATGAATAATAAAACTCTACAAACTAAAACTTCATTTCCTCCCAGTTTTCAGCTATAAAATTATTTCATAAGTAAAAAAACTCCACAGAAAATACATCAAGATTTACATGTGGCTTCATAATGGAAACTATTACTACAAAACTCTCTGATTGTAAGAGGAGCAAATCATAGACAATATTAACATCTGCCTAAGCCCGTACTAAAAACCACAGAAAAGGAAACAAACATGCCCTCCTGACAAATCAAAACCAATCTCCAGACGATAAATATAAATAAGTCCAACCTTAGCAAACCTGAGATAGAACCAAGCCAAAAAGACTGTAGTCATAACAAATTTCAAGAGAGGCTTAGACTTATACTACAGGGGCAGTATTAACAGTAGTGAAATTAGCCCTAGAGATGACTGAGAGTAGTGGTTTATAAACTCTATTGATATTTATGTGATTCCATGCAAATCAAAACATCAGTCCACCACCAGTCTTTCTACATGACTGTACACCATACACTCCATGGTCAAGTCTCTGTGCTCACATGAGGGTCAGTTGTCACCTTCCATTTTGGCATACAGACAGAATCTGCCTTTTCCTTCAGACGCTCTATGAATGACCATGATGGAAATCCACCCAAATATAAAGCAACAATGCTCTCCACACCATAAAAAAAACCAAAGAAAAAACAAAAGCACATTCTCCAGTGTCCTCATTTTTCCATGTGCCTGCAGTTGCCTGCAACTATTCATAGACCCTGTGTAATCAAGGAAGTTCGAAAGTGTTTTACTCCCAAAGGAATCAGCAAAGTTACAAAATAAGTTCTGAGAGACAAGAACAGTTAGACTGAAAGAGTTAGTTTATAACCAGCGAAACAAAACCACTACCGGTTAGTGCTTATGGGTAAATGAGAATGAAAGAAGTTAAATGAGCGGTATTATTTTGCTGAATTCAGGTAAATGGTATGAAGCACAGAGTTACTGTTCTCTGAGAACCAAGAACACGCATCATTCTTACAAAAAAGAACACACAAAACCAAATTACTCTACTGTGAGAACAGTGTAGGGATGGAAGCAGAAAATGGTATTGTTAAATAAACACCTGAACATATGTTCCCAGCCTGATGCAATGGTTAAGGAGTTAATGCGAATTTGGGGAGGTATTCCCTGGAAAATTTTGATTGGAAGAACATGTTCGTAGCTCTTAACAATGATACCATGACTGGGTCTGCTGTTCACACTTCATGAAGAAAGTTGAGAAATTGTTGGTATTTTGAAATATCAACCAAAAACTAAAATATGGCTATACGCCTGTAAAGTGCAGCCTCCTGGGTAGTATTTCAAGATATTGTAACTGGTATCAAGTCACAAAACATCACAACTTGTATCATTGCTAAGAGCCACAAATAGGTTCTCCCACTCAACATTTTCCAGGGAACACATCCCCAAAACCAGGTGGACTCTTCTGACCACGACATCGGGCTGGGAACGCGCGTGCAGACAATTATTTAACCACTTTCCTGATACGAGTTATAACTAAGGCTTCCTGAGACCACCAGCGATCTCCGATCGGGTAAGCGGAGGCGCCCAAGGCTGAAACGCTCCCGGCACTGAGCTGACGGCAGACGCGAGGGCGGGACGGGGCCTCCCAGCTACGAGCAGCGACCGGTCGGACACGCTCCCCCCGCAGGGCACAGGACCTCGGGGACCCGCCGGACCCCGCGGCCGAGGCGGCGGGAACACCGCGCTGGGGAGACGAGGAAGCGGG